TGTCCGACTGTAAATAGGATAGTCAAAGTATAGCAACGAATGAAATATAAACACCAAGAAAAATGTTAACCCTACAACACTAGAATTAACCCCCTAACAACCCCATAAAAACCATAACGCGTTGCTAGTTCTGTTACATGAAAACCATAATATTTTTTTCAACCGTATTGTAAAAAGATTAAGTGTATTATAAGATAAAATAAGAAAATATGACAAAATTGTGATGATGATTATTAGTTAAACATTTTAATTAAAAACCAATTACCTTCATTGTAAAAAATAAAACAAATCTTTTATGATTAATTAATAAATGTTTTATGATTAATAAACACATGACAATGTGTTGACAAATGACAAATTTTATTAATAAGAGTTTCTATGTATTTAATTATTCAATTTATTTCTTTAATTATTAATTATTCATTGTATTTATTATTTCAATGTATCCAAATATTCTAATAGCATTTTTCGTAGGTTCATTTTTCGTATAAAAATGGGATAAAGAGAAAAAACAAAATATATTTATATATATATATATATACATAAACCCCCATAGAGATAATAATGTAATATTATTAATAATCTAAAGAAAAAAAAGAAAGAAACATGATCAATAATTATTAATAATTATTAATTCGAAGTTAATTAATATATGATACATGATAATAAGTAAAATTTATGATAGAGAAAAACAACACGAAATCGTTAGATGACAGATAGAAAATAGTTTATAGGGGGAATAAAAAAAAAAAAAAGAGATTACTACATGCATAGAAAACCCCGTATGTAAAAATACATACATATATACATTATGGGTAGTACGTATATATGTGTATTGTACATACAATATGTAATATATGCACCTACGTATGTATCAACGTATGCACACACACGTACGCACGCATTCACGCATACGCCTATAGCATACATACACACACACATACATTTATCTAATATATAATTTATATGTATATGTACACACAAAATTGTCAATTGCCCATTTTTCTACACCATTTTCTATTTGGTTTTTTTCTTTTTCTTTTTTTTTGTATTTTACATTCGTATTACGCACGATAAAAATTGTGCCCATTCTTTTTCAAAATCCATCGCATACACACACGCACGCGCTAGAGCGCACCTAATTACACAGATATAAATATATATATATATATATATATGAATATATAATATTATATATACACACACATATATATATATATATATATATTTATTTATTTATTTATTTATATACGAGAAACATTGAGAAAGAGTCCAGCATACTCAGCAATCACGCAAAAGAAGACTCCCCATTGACCCACACACCATAAAGAACAAAAAGAAAGAAAAAGAAAGAAAAAAAAAATATAAAAATCATATGAGGTATTTTTAAATAGTAAAATAATTATTTATAAATGAAACGAAAAAAAAAAACAAAGAGAGAGAGAGAGAGAGATTTGGGAAGATAAAAAAATGAAAATAGAAAATTAGAAAGATAATTGTATACAAAAAATAAATAAATAAATAAATATTTATCAGGTATTTTTAAATAGAAAAATAATTATTTATAAATGAAACAAAGAAAAAGAGAGAGAGAGAGAGAGATTTGGGAAGAAAATAAAAAAGAAAAATTGTATACAAAATAAATAAATAAATAAATAAATATAAATATATAGGAGAAACACGGTCCATTATGCTTAATAATAATAATAATAACAATAACAATAATAATAATAATAATAATAATACAACCAGTACCCCAACCATCCTAAACCAATGATATAAATTATTTTTTAATCAAAATTATTATTAAGTGTATCTTTCCTTTTTTCTCCTTATTGCATTAAAAACACACTTACGTACAAGTAAGAGTAATTAGCTACCACAGTGTAACATAGCAAATTCACGATATATATATATATATATAATACCATCACCATAAAACACCAAGGATAATAAAATATATATTGTGTATAAATTTACACACATTACAAATGTAATACGTATATATATGTATAGCACTCGTGCATATATGTCCTATATACGTATACATATATACATATAAAAATGCGGTAGTAGTAGTAGTAGTAGTAGTAGTAGTAGTAGTAGTAGTAATAGATAGTAGTAATAGTAGTAGTAGTAGTAGTAGTAGTGTAATAATAGTAGTAGTAATAGTAGACAAAATAATTGCTAAAAAAGAATCCTTCACTTTCGCGTTTTTTTTTTTTTATTATTCTTAACTTTACTTTTCTCATTTTTTTTGTTTACTTTATTATTTATTTATTTTTTGTTGTTGTTGTTATTCTTTAATTTTATATCTGCTTTTTATTTTTATTTTATTTTTGTCGTTCGTCGTTGTTCTCTTTTTTTTCTACTGAATTGTTTTTTTAATCGTTGTTTTTTTTTGTTGTTGTTGTTGTTGTTCTAATAAGAAGTTAACAACATCATAGACTACAAACAAAAATTCCATTTGCCAGATTCGGAAATAGAGGGGTGCTTCGTAAATATCGTACGATATGATGTAATAATAATAATAATAATTTGGATGTAATAAAAGAAAAGAAAAAAATGTTCTCTTGCAAATACTTTGTATTTTTTTTTGGGCATGCATTAAATTTTCCCTCGATTTCTCTTAACATCTAACGTATTTCCCATATACATTTGAAAAATCAAAAACAATTAAAAAGAAATCAAATAATTGGAGTTTTATTTTGAAATTTTTATTGTTAGAAATAATTGAAAAAAAAAAAAAATTCAAGAGACGAGAGCAAAAGATCGATAATCAATTAGTATTATTTATTTTTTAATTAATTAACAATCATTTAATATATCAACGATGCATTAAATGTTTTAATCAAACAATATATATACATATATATTTAATATGTAATCTGAGTGACAAGAGTTTATCAGAAAGAGAAAATAATAATCGTCTATTAATAGAAAATCATTGAACGTTATGCGAGAGAGATTTTACATTTTAATATTAGAAAAAAATAAATAAATAAATGAAAACGTATATTAATATAAAAATTAACTTTCATATCAACAAAAATGTTTGATTTGAGAAAGAAATGATTTTTATTTTTATTCAAGCTTATACTTGGCTGTTTGCTTGATGATTTTGTAATGGGAAATATGTTAAATATGCGACTAATAAAAAACATTGTTGTAACAAACAAAAATAAATAAATACATAAACAAATCAAATAAATTAATGAGTAGAAAAACAAAAAGAGAAGAATTATGGTAGGAAAGACGAAAAAAAAAAAAAAAACACGGAAAAAAAAAATTGGAAAAAAATAAAAGTATGGAGAAGGAAAAAAATTACAAATTAAAAAATCAAAATAAAATTAGAAAGAGAGAAAAAAATATCATTGGAAGGTCTTACCATCAAGTCCATCGAGAATTTCCGGAGGATTATGATGTTCAGACGATTCGATTCCAGGTACCCCATCACTGAGAGCCCCCGCCGTAGGTCCGCCATCCTCTCCTAACAGTCCAACCGTATGACCCTGTAACAAGAATAAATAAAAATATATAATAAACCATAAGATTTGAAATTAATATTTCTACGATCTTATAATTATATTTATATAAATAATTATTTTAACTTAATAACTAATAAATTTATCCAAATACCCATATAATTAGAAATTAATATTTCTACGATCTTATAATTATATTTATATAAATAATTATTTTAATTTAATAACTAATAAATTTGTAATAGCTACACATTTTGAAAATATCTATCTCTCGAGACTTTATTTTCCCTATTTTATACAATTAACAAATTTTCATTTTCTTAAGATTGTGTTATATCATCAATTAATGATGACTTTTTCATTTTATAATATTTAATATTAATTATAATTAAACGCATATATATATATATATATTATAATATATCCTCATAAATAAAAGAAAAATTCATCACAGAGCAACATATTATTTTGAAAATAACTAATAAAACTCATACTTTGGCACGCAATCATTACAATAAATCAAAATAATAGTATAAATGCATGCATAACATACATACATGTATACATACATATATTTATATATAATTTAAAAAAATATAATAAAAGACAATTTATAAAAAGAACGCCAATTATTAATTTTTCAATCAGCATTATTATCTCTCATATCTTTTTAAATAAATCAATTAAATATTAAATAATAATTAATAAATCAAATTATTTCAACATTAATTAATAATAATATTTAATAATGACGATTTTTAAATATACAAACAATCAAAAAATTAGATACCATTTTACTGTTAAGGCAAGATTGTTTTCATTTGTTTTTATAACATACAAAAATAGATTTTTTATATTCATAATATATTAATTTTAATGTACAACAGTTTCGAGAATAAATCTGTGTGTGTGTGTGTGTGTGTGTGTATGTGTATATATATTTATAAACATTTGCAACATTCTAATAAAAAAAAAATAAAAATAAAAAAATGAACACAAATAGCAGACATTGCAGCTTACGTGTAAGATATGAACTTTCTAACATGAATGTATATATTTTATTATTGTATTAAGTTGTTATAAAAAAATGCAATTGAAAATTAACTTAAACTAAAATATAAAATATTATTTTAAAAATAACAAGAAATATGAAAAATAAACCTTTAAACATATGATAAACTATGTTAAAACTACTTAATTTTTGTAACGAATATGGAAGACGTAATAAAATATAATAATTAATTTAATATTAACAAATGTTCTTTTTTCTTTTTATAAAAAGAAAATATAATTTTAAGAGAGTAAAAATATTCTAATAAAAAAAGAATGATCTTTACAAAATATCTCATAAATATACACATAACAACATGCATATTAAAAAAAAAAAAAAAAGTATTTGGTATGCATGTACATTTTTTTTTTCTAATATATCAATATGATATTGTATTGTAAAATATTATAATATAAAATATACAATACAATAATATTGATATATCAGATATGTAAATATAAAAAAAAATGACAAGCACAAATGAAATTACAAAAAGAATGCTAGTAGATGGAAGTATTCAACAAGTGCTTTTAATATACGAATAACTTTCTTTAGTACCACTTTCTTTATCTACACATAGCTTGTGAGCCTTGCATTTATCATGATGATTTATAATTTCTAATCTAAAATTGCCATTCCCAGCAGCAAATGAAGTACGTATTTCTGGAATTGAATTGCTCCATTTTCTACAATACTTGCAAAACATAAGATTTGATTGTTTGTCATATTGAAGCCATTGATATGCGTTTAACCAATTAAGTTTAAATTTACCAGCCCTTCTACCTTGAAAAATATTACGTTGTGAAGTGTTACACATAGTTGACTGTATCACCGACATTTCTTTTTGCAAATTATTTACTCTCATAGATCTTGATAGATCATTGTTATTAATCGATGACAATTTAACAGTTTCACTATAATCTGACAAAGACGTATTATACTGAAAATTGGGCTCTACATTGTCATATTCAGAATGTTGTGATTGAAAAGGAAATACACGATTTTGCAAAGAGCTATGTTGATCTTCAAATTCTCGCAAAGTTCCTGACACATTGATACATAAAGAACCTCCAGCCATGATGGTACTTTCTCGTGAAACTCGCATCACAGTTGAATCTGGATGATTGGAAGTCATGTTCTGTACGTCCATTGTTTCGTCACTCTTCCCATCCCTTTGAACTATCCACTCCACATTAGTCTGTCAACAGAGAAGGAAAGGATATGTGCTTAATCGACACATTTTCATTGAATCTTTTTATGCGTAAAAGAAGCCAATTTTGCATCTCTTTATTCTTAAAATCCCTTCCTTTCCGTGTCTCTTTTGACTGCGTAGTCGCATAATATGATGATAATATGTAATCATCATTTAATTGTGGGAATAGTAACGAAACACTGACATAAGAAAAAAATTCAACTATAAGACAAAATGTAATTACACATTTTGCCTTTCGATAACAATGTAATCGCAGATACCGCTGACAAAATGTTGGTAATAGTCTTCATTCATTTCGCTTTTAAATATATTTACAGATATAAAAAACATAACACACTTAAAAAAGCATTTAATGAAAATTAAAATATAGATAAAGAAAATTGTTCTGAAAAATAACTTAGTATTATGATAAAATATGGTGGAATAATATATGTCAAGTACAGATGCTTCACTGCGATAACTTTTTATACAAGATATACATATATTTTTCCATCATTACAAGCTACCAAAAACTATTACAAAACATTGCTGAAAATAATAGTGTGCATAATTCTATAATAAAAAGAAAAAAAAAAGGAAAATAGAAAACATTACATATGCTTAATGTAACATCGACATTAACATCGACATTGGCATCGACACACCGACATACTGACACACCAACATTACAAAATCTAATAGTAAGAAAAAAAATAATAATTGAATAATTTAATAATAAACAATAATAAACAAATGGTTACTTACTGGGAGAGATATGTTGTCATGGAAATCTGATAAGTGATGGTCTAATTCTTGCTTGATAGGAGCTTGTGGTTGCGAAGCAGGAGACATCGGTCGACTACCATCTTCTAATTCTGTTCCCAGGGCATTATTTACCTTTGGAATAACAGGCGGACTTGATTTATAATTACATTGCGAAGATACCTGAAATACAAATACATATTTGTAATATACATGTATAATTATGAAATTAAATGTATTCGCATACTTAGCGCAAAGAAAATGTTCTATAAGACTCATCGATAACTTTTGTCGATGACATGTGTATGAACTCTTAATTTAAAAAATAAATAAATATAAAGTATATTTTATAAAAATAAACAGCGAAGAAGCTTTTACTATTATAATAAATGCTGAAAATATAGTTATCATGTTCATGAATCAAATGATAGATATTATCTCTTTAGTCAAAATTCCAAGGTTACAGGCAAAGTTATTTGGAAAGCTGTGTAATCATATATACATGTGTAATTTATTGATAACAATGAAACGATCGTTATCAGACAAAATGTACTGTAAGTAAAAGAAAAAAGAGAAGAGGAGGAAAAAAAAGAAAAAAAAAAAGAAAAAAAAAAGAAAAAAAAAAGAAAAAAAAAGGCCTAATAATTACTAATAATTAAGTAATAATTAAAAAAGATCATTAAATTGCAAATGTAAATGGTTATTTACAAAATTAACATTTAAAAATATTTACATTTGAAAGTTTCATTATACTTGCACTTCTTTCGCAGAGAGAGCGAAGAAAGTTGTCGGTGTGAATTTACGGTGTGAATTTACACCGAAACATAAAAGTAAGTATAAGACACAGTCTTGTCGATGATACTCATGTAAGAGTATGATAAGAATACATACCTGAGAGTCAGACAAGAATCTTTCACTAGGAGGCCCAGTAAGTGAAATGTCATAGCTGCCAGAAAATTTTCTTTTCCTCTTTTCAGGGTGAGACTGAAGATTAGGCGAATCTGTATGCCTGATACCAGTCTGTGCTTCTGGTTCAGGAGAAGGACTTTTTTCTTCGGTCTTGTTATTTACTCTATTATCTGTGAGGCCTCTGATTTGTAACGCCTCAGCTGTTTTGAGGAACATTGGTAAGACATGCTGGCTTACGTTAACTTCTCCTTTATACATAAAGTGCAGCAGCGCTTTCATTTCTGTATCGTTGACATCCTTCAAGAATATTATTGGATGTGGATGATTGTTTTGAAGGAAAATAGTCTCAAAGTAAGGACTACATGCGGAGAGTATTGTCTGGTGCGCTTTAAATGTTTCTCCAACACAAGCCAAGGTAACATCACAAAGTGCCTCTCTGGCAAGTAGTGAACTGAGTACGTCGGTAAGGTTGGCTGGGTGATTGTTCCACCGTAGGCAATACTGCTGGTCCATCTTGTCTATCTCCAATCCCAGCCCTACAACCAAACTAGCTGCCCTGAACTGTCCAACACTTAAAAATCTGATCACCCTGAACAAAATATAGAATGACTCTTCCTAACCCTTAAAACAATAACTCACACGAGTTCCCCGCGCGCACACTATCTCCCTCCAATAGTCCTGACGATAACTCTTCGATGATAATATCGCTACTCTAAACCAACACAACGTCCTCCGTGCTTCTGCAAATGTGCCACATTGCAGTATAACTGTAAAACCCTTCAGGGTTCACGCGTCGCTACTATACGTGCCGAAAACATACATTTTTGGCATAACCTCGACAAACGTAGTAAACCGATTCGCGATGAATCCACTAGCGATAACGCGAGATCTTACATACGATACGAGGTTAGATCGCTAATTACGACGCAGTACGTAACCACCCACGTAAACGACAAATATCCAATACGATGAAGATAATGTTTTCGGCAATGTCAATATTCGCGATGCTTGGGCGCCATTGTCGGCCGTCTTTCTCTCTCTCTCTCTCTCTCTCTCGCTCTCTCTCTCTTTCTCTCTCTCTCTATCGTCTAAACCACACGAGAGAGCCTTCCTGCCTCCGTGGAAAACTCCGTTTCTTAATTGCCGATTTTCTAACCAACCGTCGTTTAAACACCATTAACTTTTATTTACTATTAATACTAACTATATAACATTTAACTAATTACACTAATAACATTTAATCGAACCTTACATTTCAACCGATTTTAATAATATATTACTACTCACCTTTAGCAAACTTTTTGCCATTACAACGCCATTCGACCCTTAACGTCCACTGCCATACCAATCTGCCAATGCCTACGGCCTTATTTTTAAAATACTTTTGACCTTCGTGCATCTGCCGTAACGAATGGCGCGAAGGGCGCTCAAATTCAAATCCGACTCGAACGCCTCGCAAGAATCCTAACACAAACTACTCGTTCACGTTATATTCACGACCACCTAATCTCACGTTTTAATCGTTTTTTTTTCTTCTTTTCTTTCTATTTATTTTCGTATCGTTCTCTCTCTATCTCTCTTTCTTTCTCTTTCCTAACCTATATATCATTCTTTCTCACTATCTTTATATCTTTTTAACTATATCACTAGATACGAGATTATTTCGGACGTTGGTTACATGATTTTAAATATATATATATATATATGTATATATAAAACAACACCCGTGTCTCATATCCCATATTGATTCCTTTCCTTTTTTTTTTCTCTTTTCTTTACCAACCGTAGAGAAAAATTTTTAACCTATATTTTCTTTTTAGTTTTTTTTTTCTTTTTCAATATTTTTATTTCTTTTTCTTTCTCTCTTTTTTTTTTTTTAATAATAATAAAAAATTTGTTTATCTACTAATATTGATTATTGCGCGTACTGCTATATATTTTTTTTTCTTTTTGATTTTTTTTTCTATTTTATTTTTTAATTTAAAATTTTGTATTTTTAATATCTTTTTTTCTCTCTCTCTTTCTTTCTATTTATATATATATAGCTGTACTACTTCCTTTTTACGTAATTACGTTACAAGTCTTCTTCCTGCGTCATCTCCAATTTCTCAATATTTTTCTTTTTTTTTTTTTTCTTTTCTACAAAACTATTTCACGTGTATAATAAGAAAATATTATACATGTATACGTCGAAAAGATAAAAAAAAAAACTTTAATGAGTTTTTTCTTCGATGCAAAAAAAAAGAAAAAAAAGAAAAAGAAGAAGATAGACACGAAGATAAACTTTTCGATAGATAAAGAAAGTTTAATATAAAGTCTTATGAAAGAAGGAAGAAGATGTGTCTTTTAATCGTACAACGAACAAACTAATATCATCAATTTTTATTTACAAACGTAATATAACGTTTTGCATTTTCCTTTAATTTTTTTTTTTTTTTTCTAAATAATTAATCAAGCAAACGTCTAACCCATTTTTTTTGTTACCGTACGATACCAAACTCAATTAAACAACATGGAAAATATTGAATTTCAAAAAGTCGAGAATATTTAAGATTTGTACTCGTAATTTTTTAATGATATTAAATAAATAAACAAAATTAAAAAAAAAGAAAAAGTAATTTTAATTCGTTTTAGTAAGCAAAAAATAAAAAATGAAAGAATGAAAAAGATACACGAAATGATAGATATTAATTATCGAACATACGGATTGCACGTCTTTCAGATAAAAATGTTTCTTCTTATCTTGTTGACCGTAACCATTGTGATAATTATCATCCGAAATTTTATTCAGTCCAATCAAACCGAAAAGAAGACTTCTCTCTTTTTCTCTTCTCTTTCTTTCTCTCTCTCTCTCTCTCTCTCTCTCTCTCTTTCTCTCATTTCGATAGAAATTTCGAGTAGCGCAATCGAAAGAGTAAATAAACGTGACTGTCCTGCTTAGTGTCTCGAATTCGAATGAATGCCTTCACGCTTCCTTTTCAATGCGGCAAAATCTACTTTTACGCGTTTTAAAACGTTCCTTCTTGTAACCAAATACTTTAAAATGCCTAAAACTACTATTACTAACTATTTCTTATTATTATTTTAATTTTTACTCTTTTTTTTTTTTTATTTTGATTCTTTTTTCTTCTTTTGCTCAAACATTTTCTTTCAAAGGGATGGTAGTTGTTTTACATTTCATTTTATTCGTAAATTCGTTTGAAATGAATATAACCAATAATTTTCATATTGTAAATTTTTTCATTTAAAAAAGTAAAAAAAAAGAATTAAATATGGAATATAATTGAAAATATATTATTTGTTTTTTTTTTTTTTTTTTTTTTTTTTTATATTATTGTTGATATGATTTTATTTTATTTCTTAGTTTTCTTTTTATTAGAATCTCAACCCATTGACAATAATTTTATTTTATATCTTCGACACACTTGTAATGAAAATAATGTTTTTTTTTTTTAATGTTTTTTTTGATAAGTTTTAATTCAATTAAATGAATATGTGATATGAGATTTGATGGAAAATCAATATAAAAGCGATTAAAAAAATATTTATTATATCCAGAAATATATATATATATAATTCGTATTACATATATATATGTATAAATATTTTTTTGTTCTTTCGTATATGTTGATATTTCCGATAATTGGACCGACGACATTACGACAAAGTAATTTATTCCAAAGATAATTTCTATCTCTATCTCTCTCTCTCTCTCTCTCTCTCTCTCTCTCTCTCTCTCTGTAAGATAATCTAGTCATGGAAAACGATGGGTACAACCAAACGGCAATGTGTATTCAATCGAATGAATCCCGTTTAAAGCAATTTGAGGTTCCCGTTTTGGGTGAGTTGTATGGGTGACGTCATTAAACACGTTTATAGGTGCGAATCGAACTTTAATCATACGTCCCATATGGGTAACGTTTACTACAAAAAACATGGGAAAAAGAGAGAGAGAGAGAGAGAGAGAAAGAGAAGAAATAAGAAAGAGAAAACAATCTTTTCACGTTTTAAACCATTAAACTCTTTCCTCCATTTCTGTTCTTTTTTTCCTGTTTCTTTTTCTTTTCTTTTCTTTCTTTCTTTCCGTGCATGGCAAATATTTGACCAGACTAAAAAACACCGAAGCGTAAAAATGGACGAATAAAAGATAGATGAACAAATTGAGAGAGAGAGAGAGAGAGAGAGAGAGAGAATTGAGTGAAATGAAAAGAGAAAAAAATTAGATTTATATTTACTTTGAATAATAACTTGAAAAAAAAAAGAACATTCCATTTTTAGAGGATTTTTTTTCCACCCTATGTTTCATTTAACACACAGTAATAATAAACGATAATTCACTTAAAAATACTTCTCCAATCTTTGTCGCGTATTCATTTAATTTTTACGCTTGGTGATACGATAATCCCTTTAAATGTACACACAATCGAAATGTCGATTTGTATAAACGAACATATATTTAGAAAGAAAGAGAAAGAGAGATGGGAATACAATATAATCGTTGTGTAAAGATCAAACGTAATCCTCTATCGATTCTATTTACATATACTAGAAAAAATAATCTATCTTTTTAGAAAATAATTTTTAATTATTTCATTACTTATTTTTACCTGTTTTTACCTATTTTATAATTTTTATCTAATATCTACCTATACTAGAAAATATTATCTACCTTTCTAGAAAATAATTTTGTTCACCTGGAGGCAGGAACGTGCTCGATTTTTTTTTATCCCCAATCTTATGGAAATTTGTCGTGGATAAAATTTACGACGACGTAAAATAAAATAATGTTTAATCGTTTTATATATTTCACGTATCTATACATAAAAGAAAATATTTTTGATGCAATATTTGATTAATTTTATTATTATTATAATTATATCAATTCATTTTTTAATATAGTTATACTTATCGTTTCAATAATCTTCAAATTTCAACAATAATAAGAAAAATGTATAATAAATATATTGGCAACTCATAAATATATATTATTATAAATAATTTAATAAACGTTGTGAAAAATTATGAAAATTTGATAAACCTAATCAAACCTATTGCATTTTTTTGTTCGTTCACAAAATTCCTGCGTGTTCAACTTGAAATTCTTTCATTCTTTCTTTCCTTTATTTTTTTGTTTCAACACGATCAAATCCGGTAATAAAGACGAAAAGGTAATAGGTAAGGTGAAGGAAGGGTAAGGTTGTGGAAATGTGTGGGACGAGTGGAAAGGTGAAAGGTAGATGAGAGAAGAACGATAAATGTTCTCCCCAATCCAAAATGAACGAGTAATTAAACGGTGACCGGTGTTGGACCTGGCTACGAAAAGTCAGATTGAATCAAATTTTTAATTGAAACTAGTTTTATTTTTCTTCTTTCAATCCCTTTTCTTCTTTTACTTCTAATTTTTCGACTTTTTTATTTTATTTTTCTACTTCTTTTCACACCCAGAATCCGAGGGAAACAGGAAGGTTCCTTTTACTCAGATTGATGCTTTGATCAATGACGAAAAAGATAGTTTTAAACGATTGGGAATAGTTTTCATACTAAATTGAAGTATTTTTTCTTTTTTTTTTAAAAAAAAAAAAGGATTCTAATTACTCTTCGATTACAGCTATTTAACGAACCCTCTTTTTTTTCTTCTTCTTTTCTTTCATCCCTAACCCTGTTCTAATTTTACGACGATCAAAAACATTTCTAATCTTCAACTTTTTTTCTAATATTTTTCTTTCATTTCCTTTTTTTTATTTTTTTTTTCACTTGGTAATTCAACTTTTAACATGAATATTAATTAAAGAGAAAATATATGGAAATGTTCGTCATAAATGATGACGATGAAATATTAATAAATAACGTTACGCGTGTATGTTTGTGTAAAAAAATTGGGTTAATCTCTTTTTTTATCGAGTCAGTATTTTATGTTTATAATTTTTCGTTATTTAATATTTCTTTTTTATAAATAAATGGTCAGCATTTATAATAAAATATCAAGTATGTTAAAACCACAGTAAACAACATTTATCAATTTTATTTGGAAATATCCACAAATTATTATTTCTATCTAATAAAACTAACAAAAAAAAAAAAAAATCATTTTTCTGCTTACCGAGGCATTTTATTTATTTATTTATTTATTTTTCTTCTTATTTTATCAAATATTTGTAATTAATTAATTAATGAAAAAATACTGACTCGAAAATATACAATTATAATAAATGTTTATAAAACTAAATCGATCGGATAAATAAATACGATCGATTTAATTATAATAAAAACAATATTATCAACATCATATATGAGATCTTTGAAGATATAAAAAAAATAAGAAAAATTACGAATAAATAAATAAATAAATAAAAACAATCGAAATGGAAGGATTGACAGACCTGTGGATATCCTCCGATCGAAGGAATCCTTTGAATCTTCTTGTCTCCTCCATTCGTGTTTTTTTCTTTAATTATCTTCAGGTAGTTTAAAAAAAAAAAAACCATAATCCTTCTCAGATGGATCATTGAAATATTTTTTTGAAGAATCGTACGAAAAATGTCGTACGATTTCAAAAGAACGATCACAATTTTCAACATATCATTCGAATCTTTATTTTGAAAGATCTTCCAACGTGGCAGATTCAAAATGGCGTATCTTCGATTGACGATTTAAAAAAAAAAAAACCCCTTTCCTCACACGTTTTTCGTATATCAATGATTTTTTGTTTTTTTTTTGTTTTGTTTAATTAATTATAAAAATATTTTATCAATCGTGCAACATTGCAAACTTTTTCTTCATCACGTGAGGACGGTCTGTGAATAATCGATTACGATTATTATTTTTCGATAATCGAGTTTTAAAATGGTTGAAGAAAAMAAAGAACTAGAGAAAGAGAGAAAGAGAGATAGAAATAATGAAAAGAAACAAAAACCAAGAAAAAATATGCGAATCGATACTTTTCGTGATGCATTTTATTTTATTTTTTATTTATTTATTTTTATTTTTTTTTTTTTTTTTTTGTATTATCTTCAAGAAGAAAATTTTTTCCTACGTTTGGACGGCTTGAAAAGGAAGTTGTGTCTTCGTCATATTAGAAGACAACATTATTTTCATTGTGTTAATCGTTTTTTATTTTTTTTTTTTATTTTGTTTCCACAACGATCGAACCAGGATGTAAATATCGATAGTGTGTACATGTATATATGCACACTAAAGTACGTGTTCATTTTTGTCATCCATAGGATTGCAACTATGTTGATTAATTGTCAACACACACGACGTCTTCAATATCGTGACTCGTATTAACTTTTTTTTTTTATCACAATTGATCTATCTTTCTCATATTGTCGATAGGTATCAATTTTTTTTGTTTCTTTTTCTTTTTCTTTTTTTTTTTTTTTGATGTTTCAGACATCATGGAAATTAAATTCACCCTTGTGTTGTCTTTCGTTCGATGGGGATGAAAGAATAAAAAAATATAAATGTATTTTTTTTTTGTATTCCTTTGTCATTGAAATGTATATGCACATCAAGAAAGATGCGCATATATTTTTTGTTTTTTTTTTTTTTTGTTATTGTTAATTGCAACCACCGAGTATCGATATTTTAATTATGTTATTATATTATTATGATTATCCCTTTTTCCTCTCTTTTTTTTTTCCTTGTTTCCTTAGAATGCATGTTTTATCATCGCCGGTGCCATTTTTCATCTTGAATTTTAATTTTTTTTTTTTACATCGATCCTATCGACGAGAACTTCGATTAACATCACTACCAAACAAATAAGTTCTTTTAAAAATCTTCCAATGAAGTGTTTTTCGTTGTTTTTACACTTTTTTTTCTTTCATTTAATTTTATTTTTATCAAAAGAAAAATCAAAGACATTTTTTAAAGAGATACAATTTGATTTAACGTTAATTAAACGCTTTTTGTTCTGTATAAAGAAATTTTTAATAATATATCCCTAGTAGCACAAAATATTGAAAAATAATAAATATATGTGTATTTAATATTAAAAAGACATTAAATCTCTTTTTAATATTAATTTAGTAATAATACAAATTTTATAATTTTTATAATTTATAAATTTAATAATTAATTTAATATTAAATACACATGTATTGAATATTTTTCAATATTTTGCGTTAATAGGGATATTTTAATTTTACAGTAGTGAAACGAGATCGAATTATAATTATCATAATTAATACAAAATAAATAAAAAAAAAAGAAAATTATAACGTAAAAATGAAAAATTCGATACGAGATGAGAAACGTGAGATTTAAATCTGACGTTTTAATAATTTCCACGTGGAAATTACTATTGTTTTATATCAAGATCGTTAGTATGATCAAATGAACATATATTAATAACATAACCTAACATATTATTTCGTATTTTATGGACGGATATCTCGAAAATATCTTAAAAGCTCTGTGTGTGTGTGATTTTTTTTCTTTTCTTTTCTCTTCTTTTGTTGTTGTATTTTTATATCTTTCTCAAAGATATTTTTATCTATGTTTAATAATGTTTTTTTTCCTTTATTATTATAAAAATATCTTTGATAATAATTTATTTCTGTGATAAATATTATATGAATATAGTGTATATATATATGAACACGATTTATTAATCATTTTTAATTTTCATATTTGTTAAACTATTTGACATAGTTTATTTCGTAGAAAAATATTATTCACCTGCTAAGTATAGCAAAATTTGATTAAAAATCACCTATGATTCTTTGCGTAAATACTCGAACGATTTGAAATATTTGTTTTCAATCAGCGCAACGCTTCAATTCCATCGATCTATCAACGTTCATAAAAAATAATTTATAAAAAAGACGTTAAAAAAGAAAATTCGATCTCGTCGTATTAAAAATTCCTTTTTTTTTTTTATTAAAAATATATAAAGATAATATTTACGAGAATATAGATCACGTTTTCGTTCAATTTCAACAGTTACTAAAAAGGTCTCGAGTAATAATTAATAATTGATCAAATTGAATGAAAATAAAATCAATCTAATAAATTAATTATATTTCAAATAACGATTCGATATTTCATGATAAAATATTAACAAATATTTTATTATTTTATTTTTATTTTTTCCTTTTTCTTCTCATCTTCGGGTGAAGAAAACGCGTTCAAAATTGCTGATTAAATTTTTATATTTTCTTGTAACAACAAGAAAAAATCTGTCTCTTTCTCTTATTAGCAATAATAATTATAAATAATAACAAAAATTAATAAAAAAACATCTCGTTTACAGTCCCGTCCTCAGCAAACGAACCCAAACGTATGGTTCGCGTTGACAACAAAATTATTATTTAATTATTATTAATAAATATTATATTAATTTCGTTTTGAATATTTAAAAGTCTTGGTGACGATGATGACAATTATAAAAAATGTGTGACATATTTATATTATATACTCCATTGATATTATAAATTTGATATTATAATCGACGCGCCGTTTTCGCCGTCAATATATTGGCGATGATAGTAATCGCAGGACGGCAATTTTTCGGCGCATCGTTACCTGGTTTATTGGAATTCGAGAACATGAAACCTCCTCGGCCCCCGGGATTGCCAGGCGGCGGGCGCGTTACATTGCAGCAGCTTACACAAGTTGAACCGGAAGTAATATCGTTGTTTCTTCTTCCCCCGAAGACCTTCCTTCACCTTTTTTTTCTTCTTATCCTCTTCTTCCTCTTCTTCCTCTTCGTAAATTCGACGACAAACAAAAATCTTCCAGTCGCGATACCTCAACTTTTTCTTTTTTGATTATCTTCAAGGACGAACCAATGAAATGTCAATTATTCAAAACTCAGCAATAATTTTGTCTCACTAACTTTCTCAAAGTTACCCTCACAAAATTTAATAATGAGAGGGTTGGTTAGGGGTTGTAAAGTTAATCAGTTAAATAATCGTCGAATCTTCAACACTCTTTTGCACTCTTCTTACCCCCTCTCTTTTTTTCTTCTTTGAACGACAATAGTAAAAAGTTAGTTAACGATTAATCACGTTATATATATATATATGTTTCCCGAACGTTAATAATCGCTGATAGGTGACCTTCAACTTGTCCCGGCCATGATCTCCCGCGCGCGAGGCCGTGCGCGCGCGCGCTCGCGCGTTTTCCTCTGACACGGCACGCCGCGTCGTCGAACAGAAGAAAAAAGGGGGGTTGTTGAAATCGAAGTAGATCAGCAGCACGATTGATACGCCAAGCCAACAACTGACGACGACAACGACGACTATGACGATGATGATGATGACGACGACGACGACAACGACGACGACGATCAAAATGAGGACGACAAGTAACAGGAAGAGGGTGGTGTAAGATCGATCACGTATTTATTTTCTTTACTTTCCTTTCCGTTCCTTCTTCAAATTTCCCTTTTGTTTCTTGACGATTACAACGATGATGACGACGACAACATTGATGACAACATTGATGATGAAGAAGACGAATAATACGTAGAAATAGATTAACTACACGTAAGAAGAAAATTCGTGGGTTTAAACTTGACCCACAGGAACGGACAGCAACAACAGCTACAACAGCAACAGCCAATAGTAGTAGCTAGCAGTAATAGTAGCAGCAGCAGCAGCAGCAGCAGCAGCGGCAGCAGCAGCAGCAGCAGCAGTAATGTTAATCAGCAACGACTAGAAGAACGGCAACGGTAACGGTAACGGTAACGACGACAGCACCGTAGAATAAATCGCAGCGTCGTGCGAACCAGCTTGGCCGCGGAACGCGACTGAGGGAACTAGGGGTGGCACCGAGAGAGAGTAGGTGCCGTGGATGCAGCTCGACGTGTACGCTGCACGAGCACATCCCCCCTAATGAGTGCACCAGGCATGTGCGAGGGATTTTATGTTCGCCGCCGCCGCCACCACCTCCTCTTCCTCCTCTTCTTCCTCCTCATTCTCCAACCCCTAACTCCATTGCCACCACCACCACTACTAGTCGAACCACCACCCGAGAATCGCTAGCCACCCCCACCGTGCTATCTCTTTTCCTCTACCCTCTCCTCTTCCTCCTCCACCACCTCCTCCTCCTCCTCTTCCTCTATCTCTTGCAACTCGCGCAACCCCTGTTCTTCCTTACTTACACTGTACGTTCCTCGCTACTGGTACGACTAAACTAACAATCAGACTTCCACGAGGTATCTAACCGTTAATCGTCGAATCCCGATGCTCTCAAGTACTACAGAAACAATCGGTTACCAAATGCTTTTTCTTTTTTTGGATACCTTCCCTCTTTGACATACTTTTTTTTACATCCTCTTTTCATTCTTTTCCTCTATTGTTCATACCATGTCAATGATACTTCATATTACCTACATATAGAAACGTAATATCATTTTGCATATCTATTACTAAAAGTTTGAAATATTTTCCAAAAAATGACTAGGTACTTTAGTCTGCCATAATAATACTATCCCTTTGACAAATCCCCGTTTTGTAGGATGATGTGCAATCATCTTTATCCATTACTCTTAAGAAGAATTACGTTGAAGAACGGTGGATACCACCGTTACCACCACCACCACCACCACCAACAGCAACACCACCACCACCGCCACCACTCTCCAGCGCATCGCACCGACACGTTGGGAGCAGCAGCAGCAGCAGCAGCAGCATCAGCAACATCAGCATCAGCAGCAACAGCAGCATAGCCAGTCCCCGGCAGAAACCGACAAGGGGCGGCTTGTCCCGCGCGATCCGGAAACCCTCATCGCGGGTTCGTGGGGCTGTGCCCGGTTTTCGCCTTCCTCCTGCGTGTCTACGTGTGCCTGCGAACCGTGCCCTGCTGCATCCGCTTGCGATTGGTACGCAATAGTCAAACCGCCCGTTATCGTACGATCCTCTCTTGCACCTGAACAACCCTCTCTCTTTCTACGCACACCTACCCTCACCATTCTTCTCCTTCCATTCCCTCTCTCTTTTTCTTCCAATATCCAACCCCATTTCCATGCCTACCTGTTTACCAATCCACCCACCCACTACCACCACCACCACCACCAGCTTTACCTCCAACTCCACCTCCATCATCAGTTCTACACCATCATCTACCTACCATAATATCACCCCATCATCATCATCATCATCATCATCATCATCGTCATTCTCTTTCCATCACTTTTAAACACACTTTTCATTTTCAATATCTTTTTATTCCGTTTATCTTAGATTTTTGTTTTATATTCTTTTAAATCCTCGAAATAACACAACGGGGGTGGACTTGGATATCTTTGTATATTTCTTTAAGGTTTTTCGAAACCCCTTTTTTCCTTTATACAACCCCACAACTCGCGTATTTATTGATTTTTGTTTCCTTTTATGAAAAATACTGTGAGTAATCTTACTAAAAGAATGTGTTCAGCTGAATTTTTTTTTATCGTAAACAATCAAAGAGTACGTAACATGATCAATAATATTTCCTATACTATCAAATATATCCTTGTATTTTAATCCAACCCTTCAGCAGATTCTCCATTGGCACCTTGGGCTCTTTCGCATTCCATTCATTTCTCTAACCGAGAAACGTTCTCCTATTTGACGAAGATCGCTGAGAACGTAGAACAAGGTTCACCTGTAATCCGAACAATCGAGTTCCTTGCGAGTCAACACACCCTACGATTGGTTAACCCTTTTCATCAAGCCCTCACCCACTCACCCTAAAACACGATGATCTGTTCGATACAGTGACGTTATCTGGAAATTACTTGAGTTTTACACTTCAATTATTTCTTCTTCTTCTTCTCCTTTTTTGTTCATGCCATTAAAAAAGAATATTCGTTAAGGGTGGTAATCGATCATCCCATTCGACTTCGAGA